GGTTCCTTCTTCAAGGTTAATTTCTGCACACTTTTTCTTTACTTTCTTTAAATAAAAACTGTAAATAGTCGATTTGCCATTTTTCATTTCCAGTAGCCACTGAGAGTCTATGAACAGTGAAATTTTGAAACACCCCTCAATTTTTTTTGTAAACCACATTCTTCAATTAGTGTTAGGTTCTGCTTGTTTGTCTTCATTTGCTTATACAAACTTGTGTATTTTTGTTTTAATCCCTGACTTTCCTGGGACAATCTTTTACAAATAGTCAGTAAATGCATTTTTTTTTCTTTTTGTTCTTTTAGTGCCTGGCTATAAAAACTGCTGAAATAAAAGCTTGACAGACAGAAGAATTGATTTTAACAAGGTCTTTGTCAACCAAACTTAATTTTTTGTACTTTAAAAAACAGCCAAAAATGAACAAAGTCCAGAGAAAACAGAATTCAATTCAAGTAAAAATCTTGATATGAATATACTGATATTGATATGATAAAAAAGACAATATAATAGATAAATGAAATCTGCAAAAACAAATAGGCCTACAGTTTTAAAGCTGAAAATTTTGCTTTTTGGACTTGAACCTTCTTCTTTATGCTTACAGATTTCGCAATGACTGGATTTCTTTTTCCTTCATTTTTTTTAGTGGTGCTGGTGGCCTTAAATTGGAAAGTGCACTGACAGGAAATGGGTTGAAGAAAGGGGGAATAAGTGATGCAAGGTCTCTATGGGTTATATTTCAAATCAGGGACAGCTGCACCAAGGATTTTCATACATGGGTTGCACAGTGTACCCTGCTCCACGTGTCACACCCAGGTGCTACAGTGTTTAAACGTGCAGCAAAACTTGTCAATTTCAAGAATTATAAAGAAAATCGAAAATCTTTTGGCCAAACCTGAAAGAAAAACAATGGAAGACCTCTAGAAAGCTTTTCAAATCTATTGTTAAAAATGTTTGTTAAACGTTTGCTATAGCAGGCCGGTTAAAAACCATTTGGAACACTTTATGTTTACAACACTGAGGAGAATATTTCACTTCCTTTGTTTAGATTCATATGTCTTCTTGGTGCAAGGGTTTTTTGAAATTTAAAAGAGAACCCATCTTTCCTCAAAGCATAAAAAGTAAGTCAAAACTATGACTGAGATGTAATCTCATGGAAAGCAATGTTACAAAACACAGGTAACATGGAAATGTTTAAAACCTGTTGGTGTGCTGAAGCACTCAGAGTTCCCTTTACTGGAAGAAGCAAGCAAGTGTTAACCTGGCATAAGCCAAATGAATACTATGTAGAATTCAAATTAATATATTTAACTGATAAATCAAATTTCTACCAAATACAGTCAAGAACACGCAAATATCTTCCCATCTACAAAGGCAAAAACTATGTGCTCTTTTTTTTTATTTTTCAAAAAGAAATATAGGGTATTCCAGCTAAACTGTCTTTGTTTTGCTTCAGCCTTCCACGTTGACTGTTTACATGTCTCACATTACGTCATAAACGTCACTGGATTTCACTGGCCTTAAACATTTCTGTACTGAGGCAAATGCATCTGTTGGTTTCTAGCAAGATAGATTATTAGATGTTTGTGAATTCAAAAATATTGCAACAATTCATCTGACTTGCAAGGTAGGCCAAGCTCAAACCCACAGCATAATCCCCCCTCCACCAGGTTTTACACTTGGAACAATACAGACAGACAAGTATTGTTTTCCTGACAATCCCCACACCCAGAAGTGACCATCTGTTTTCCAGATGGAGAAGCTCATTCATCCCTCCAGAGGACTCACCTGTTTAACACCAGTGCATCCGATGCCTATGCCAGGCATTGCATTTGATGATGTATGGTTTGAATACAGCTGCTTGGCCATGGAGATCCTACTAAGCTCTCTAAGAACTGTTCTTCAATTAATCTGAAGGCCACAGGAATTTTAGAAGTTTATAGTGGTTAAAAGTTGTCAACCTCTGAGAATGAATGAACGTCATCATCTGCTGCCCTCTCTCTGTCAGTCTATGTGATTTACATCTTCCTGGCTAAGTTGCTATCTTTTTTTACCACTTTATTTTAATACGACTAACAATTTATATTTAGGATCAAGAAGACGTTTTACATTACAGCGTAAGAATAACTTTATTTAGGTTGCTACTTGACTGAATTGCTGTACAGCTGGTCCAAATAAAGAAAATCAACCAGTTTCTAATTATAATCTGTTGCTTTAAACAGAATTTAACACTGAAATAAAATGAAGTGTTATACATTGACTGTTTAAATAAAATAATAAAAAGAAATTTTTTCCATTTTAAAATCTAAAGAGTTTTTTGAATTAGAGAACAACAATCATTCAGTTTGGTATATAGGCAATTTCCTGATTCACATATTTCAAAAACACCTGAACTGACTGTTTTTTGTTTTTTTCTTTCTTTTTTATGGCTTAATGAGAGCAGTGGGCTTTAGGCTGACCTGAAAGGCTTTAAACCTGGGTTTGATTGGCAAAAAAGCCATTCTCAAACACATATCAAGGTGCTCATTGATGAGCCTGGATTGATATTTATTTTTGATTATGGTCATGGTGGGGAATCCTGCTTCACATAGTAGGTTGAGCCAAACATACCCAAAATGTGAAGGGTCATCTTTGAGCACTTTTCTTCCAGCAGTCCACACTTTCTCTCCTTCTTTCCCATCGCCTAGCTTGCCACAGCTTTGCCTGCTGTGTCTAAAAGTAGCTAGCAGCAGCAACCCAGACTGACAGCAGTTCATTGGTAATTTGTATCACGTGTAGACCTGGAAGGCTTTACCATGTTAACATGAGAAGCAGGGCAAGTGAAGTTAGGCACTGTCATCTGACAACATACGGTAACTTATAAATGTTGTAAATCAGTCAAGATTACCCAGCAGGAGGGACAAAATAAAAAAACTGTTTCTAAGAAAATAAATTTCAACAAAGAAATACTAGTACTTATACTTTATGTGCTGAGTACTTGGCTCTTTTAGTATAAATCAGTGTGGTGTGGAAGTCAGTCAGTCTGTGGTTCTTTTAAAGTATTCAAAAAAGCACAGACTACTTTAATAGCTACCTGTAGCATGTCTGCATTGTTGGCTTGTTGACAATATTCCACAGATTGTATTATTAAGACATGGTTCAAACAGGTTAAAGTTTAGCAAAGAGAGACATAAAGTGCTCAATAAATCCTTGACAGCTTTGCTGACTTTAGATATGACAAAACACCTGAGACCAGCATCAGCAAATGACCTGGTTTCACAAATCATCACTGTCTATTGAAACTTTTCACTGGACCCAATTCACTAACAGCAAAATTCCTTCTATCAGAAAAGAGGATTTTGGGTCTATATACCTTGGGCAACAGTCTGTTTCTGTCCTTGTGCAGGGTATAACACTTGTGACATTAGAACAGATTCCATTACAAAATTCTGTCGATATTCTGCAAAAAAACCTTTACAAGTTCAGCTTTTTCACTGAAGAACAAAATAAAAATTTAATGTGAACACGTTTTTTCTCACGTGATAACTCTGAAAACATACATAATGGCAGCGGCGATGTGAACACATGAGATATATCCATTTTTTAGCTGCGATTCTCGTTGGCGCTGTCAGTCCTGTCAGTCTTCCAGTCTTCTTCTTTGCCTTTTTACAAGGCAGAAATATCCAGCTGCAAAATACGTGACTTGTGTGATGCGAAGAGCGTTTCCAAATTAGTTTCATAAGATAAAACAAATTTGATACGACTGAAAAACCACCTCCTTAAAGCGTGAAAACTTTTAATCGAAAAGCGTGATAATGGAAACTCACCTTCAGTCTGTGGTTATAGGAGGGAGCTAACCCAAGGAAAGTACCAGCTGTAGCCCATGAAACCGATACATCAGTATGTTGTTCTTGTTCTTCCAACTCTTACTCCAGCCGCCGTCCACATCCCCTGAACTTTAAATGAAGTTTTCTGCACAATCCCATCATTGCTGCACAATCCTTCGCTTTCACTTCTTCCTTCCACTCAATTTTCTGCTAATGTGCTTGAATGCTGCACTCATGGGCTGTTCTAGACAGGGGCCAATAGGGGCCAGTTCCCCTGTAGATCATGTCCTGGCCCCTGTTATATAGCCCCTGTACTGAAGACATAATACTCAAAGAAATTCCAATGATAATATGCACTGGAAAAGACATGGTTACTGATAGGTCCTTTGGATCAATTAATTTTTTTTCTTTACAAATTCTGTTTTACTAATTTTTTTTAAATGATAAGGTGATAGCTTTAGTGGTATTGAAATAGTTTTCATCTGCTAAATGTTTTTTTTTTTTAAGAAAAAAAGCTGAATTTATCTTTTTTTGTTCTAATTAAGATTTTTTAGAAAATTTTTATTTCAGCTTAAAGTAAGTAAGAAATGCGTTAAATTCTAAAAACTATAAATGTATATTGATCTAATAAGACATTTTATAATTTTAATTTCCATCTAATTGAATAGAAATTTCGCTTCATGCTGTTAAATTTATATATTTGAATCCCTTGCACTGTGTTTTATTTTATGCTTTTCTGGGCCCCCATGAAAACACGCTGCCCCCCTCCTGGCCCCCTGGTACATTTGGTCTAGAACCGCCAGTGGCTGCACTCTAATGGGCTTTTATGATTCAACGTTTTGAAGCTGTCCACTTTACACTGCTTCTTATTTTCATCAACTTTTATTATTCATTTTGCTGGTTTAACTTAGGCCTACATTAAAAGAGAAACTAAGTTTAATCATCTCTAAAATGCATTTATTCAGATAAAAATAAAGAAAGAAATAAAGAAAGAAAAGTTTGAAGTATATAATTGGCTCTTCCAAAAATTATAAGTTTAAAATATCACTAATAAAAAAAAAAAAAGATTTTCACAATAATCAATTAACTATGTTGCGCCTTATAGCATAGGGCGCAGCGCGGTCTGCTGCTCGGGACGCGCTCCGCCAGTAGGGGACTCACTTCATCTAATTATTAAAAATGGCACCTGTTCATGGGTTGGAAACAACAGACGAGGCTATTTGCTGTCATCTACAAAGTCGGTGAACAGAAACGTGGCTGATCTGACAGCTTTACGCACAATTTGAAGAAACCTCGTAAAGCTGAGAAGGCAGGAGTGAACAGTTTCCTTCACTTCACGGTGAGTGGGGACACTTTTTCTGGGTTGTTTTTTATTCATAAATGTAAATGTACCTGAAAGTCATAGATTGATGGCAAAGCCCGAGTTCTCTTCCTGAACTTTTTACTATCGTGTCAGAAAAGCTTGAGAAAACGAGGTGATAATATATGCTTTTAAAGTTCCGTCAGTGAAACTGAACTTATCAACCAACTCTTCCTCTTTCATTTTACTTGTGGAGCGGTCAAATCTGACAGTCTGCAATTTTATATCTGTTTTTAGAATCTATTGAAGCACATTTTTCCCCTTTTGCAGATTATTTAAAAACGCTGCTTAGTTCCTGGAAAAAAAGTATTTAAATTATGTCCAATGCATCATTAAAGTATATATTAGCAGGCATACGTGTGGTTTAATTTAGAAATTTAATTGTAAAAACAATCTCTGCTCCTTGAGGAAGCTCGGATTGGACTTAAGTTTGACTCTTCTTCAACACTGGAGTGTTCAATGTAAAGCCAGCTGGCCTAATTATATATTAAATTAATCATGACCAAGTAAGAGTCAGTCTCCTTTTGGATAGTGATCACCAAAGGACATCCAGATGTCCTACTTTGTAGTGATATATCCTGTTTCACTGAGCAAGAAACAGGTTCCTATTGTACTTGTAGAAGTTATGTCACGCTCCACGTAGCAGATCTTAGTTCCTGTTACAAATGACAACTGGTCATTAGCGATGAGGTGGATTTGCCTCATGAGATCAAAAATGATGTGTGTGTGTGTGTCACATATTAACTGGTGTGGGAGCCTTAGGGTGAGTCCCATCTAATGCCACGTGGGTCTTGGCAGGCTGTGGCCTCACAGAAGGTGAGTTCAGGTGTTTGTTGAGAGGTGTGGCGTGTTTGTTCGCTCTCATCGCCTCCCTGCTGTCTCAGCTCACCCTGTGGGACTCTTTCCTGAAGAGGCCAAGAGAGTGGAGGAACAGGGTCGGCTGGATCATCAGCTGCTCTGAGACGCACAAAACCGGTATGAGGTGTTTTCTCTCCGGCTTGATGTCTTTGGTTTTATACAAAGAGAGGTTAGTGAAAGTATACCAGGTAAAAGTAGGGAATGGTAACAGGAGAGCATGTTCTTGAAGCCGTGTGTAAGTGGTGGCCTTTAATAGTTGCCAAGGAGGCAAACTCAAGAGAATTTCTGTGCTTTTTCTGCTTCACAGCCTCCAAGGAATCACCTGTCGAGAAACATGCGTCTCCTACGCCGCCGTTTGTCTCCTCTAAAGCTGGTCCTCCTTGGCGGAACTCTTTTTATGGTGGTCCTGGTGGTCCTCCACAGGGATGTTGGTTCCTCAAATACTGGAGACCCCTGGCTACAAGACCTGGCCAACAAACGGGACGAAGTGATGGTCATGGTGCGAAAGGCAGTGAAAAACATTGGCTTCCAGATCGGAGCTCCACAGCCACCACCTGTGCAGGCACTGCCCACAGAAGACGCTAAATGCCCCTCTGGATTTTACACTCGGTCTGAACTCAAACCTCATCTGGAGAGGCCGCCGCAGGACCCTCAAAGCCCCGGGGCTGATGGGAGAGGGTTTGTGAAGGATAATATGACTCCTGAGGAGCAGAAGGAAAAGGAGGAGGGTATGACGAGGCATTGCTTTAACCAATTCGCCAGTGACCGGATCTCGCTTAGCCGCAGTCTTGGAGATGACACAAGACCTCCTGAGTAAGTGGAAGCCTTTAATATCTGAAGTAATTGCTGTGGTTCCAACAAGGATGTTGACATGTTGGCATGGGAGGATACCACCTGTGACTCAGAAGCCTTCCTCAAACAGGTCAATGATTTACATGCGTTTTCACAACTTTCCTTAATGACTTCAAGGGCTTACAGAGCCTGAGTAACTAATCTCCATGATATGCAATAACAGAGACTGACATGTCAAAGTAAACACTCCCATTTGTAGCCATGATAACACCCACACTCTCTGACTACAAGACTTGACATTTTAATTTTACTTTTGAGCAGAAACATTTTCCTGTTGAGTGATAGGTAAAGCTCACTGTTATATTTTAAAGTAACCGTGGTCACCTTTGTTATCAGGAAACAATGTTCTCCTATGTGTTGCTGTCTGAGGCCTTGTATGACTTTCATTTCAACAGATATGCCTCTTGTTCATTCCTTAGGTGTGTGGACAGGAAATTTCCTCGCTGCCCTCCTCTGCCTACCACCAGTGTCATCATTGTCTTCCACAATGAGGCTTGGTCTACGCTCCTGAGGACAGTCTACAGTGTTCTTCATACATCTCCCGCCATCATGCTGAAGGAGATCATATTGGTTGATGATGCCAGTACTGCAGGTAATACCTAAAGACTTTGAAGACAATGAAATAGGAACGTAGGATAAAGTAAATGTTAGCATGAGTGCCACAGTAAAGCCACTGTGCAAATTCACATTTGTAGTCCACATCTGCACCTCAGTCAATGATTTATTCCCCTTCTCAGATTTCAACATTTTAAGCAGCTGTGATCCACAGCAGGACAGAAACTTGCAATGTCATTTAGAAGACGATCTTATCAGATAGATGCAGATTTTGGGCAGCCACTGATGGAAACGGCATTAGAATGTGTTACACCTATTTAACGTTTTAAATCGAGTTCAAACTGGCCTTTTGCTGGGAGTTTGTTTAAAGGAGGATCACTTGGTGTCTCTGTTTTGCATTATTTACATGAAGGCCTTTTGCATAATTTTTACATTAACTAACCACTTTAGGAGGACAAGTAAAGTCTTCTCTTTAACATTCTCGGATTGGCCTTAATCAGTTTTATTGATGAAGACATTTTATGTTTATAAAGATTATATTTTTTAAAAATCTGGATTATTATTATTTTTTTTTTAACGGTTAGTGTTAACCCTACCAATCCACTCCTTAAGCTTCCTTACTGTAGCTCAAAGTAACGTCAGTTTATCTCTTTTTGTTCTCCGGTTTATCCTCATTACTTATAAACTAACTCACTGTGTGTTATCATTAGCTGATTCAGAATAATGGGTGTTAATTTGCATGTTTTTTTTTTTTTACTTTTTTTATTATGTGCAGTGTGTGGGCATGTTGCAGGTGATCTAAAATGATTGCTGGGCAAATATCAAGAGGTGCAAACCAGATTGTTTCCTCCCCATTAAATAAGCAGTTGCCAGTTAAGAGTAATAGTAGAATAAAGATAAGAGTTCTAAGCCAACTAGTTGGGAGTTATAAAGGAAATTATTTTAAAATTAATTATGTCTAATTAATATTCATAGAACAGTTTACACAGGTAGCTTTTATCAAAACCTTACTTCAAAAGTAAGAAATCAAAAGATGAAAATAACTGAAGTTGAATATAAAAAAAAGAAATATCATAAAACATGAAAAAGTTGATCTTGTTAATAGCTACGTCACCAAGGTTTTGATGTGTCAAAACAAATGCTTTGTGAATCAAGAATTAAAAAAAAAACCTTTTTCAAGGAATAGGTTATGTACACCCTCCACACGACCAACCCCCATGTGTCTTAATGGTGCGTATGTGGTTCTTTCTACAATACTTTTACAGTCATTTTTGTGTTTTGCTTTAATATATATTACAATTGCCCAATGCATTTGCTTTTTTTTCCTTTAGTAATATTATTCTTCTGTGCTGTACCGTCCAAATATATTTATTGTGAACAGAATCTCTCAATGGTCTGTCATTATACCAATGCCCCCTTTGGCCACAATAACCACAGAACAGTTTGAATGTACTTTCAGACGTTAGAAGGGCAAAAGAACAGTTTGAGATTCGGTAAATCAATTTTCACATAATTGTTTATATTTGAATATCCTCTACCAATAATTTGTGCAATTTGGTCTTTAGAATATGATCTGTATATTGATGAAGCACTTGCTCTCTGCTGGATTGCAAATACGTTTGCAAGTGATTTTAAGATGCTCAAATCTTCTAAAGAGGATTATTTTACAAGCATGTTTCACAGTTAGATTCTTTATTTTTTATTTTTTTTGCCCTTTAAATTAAGGTCATCTCCAAGCAGGGATGATTGAAATCAAAGCTAGTTTTTGATGGCAATATATTTTATTAGTTGTTTTTATTACGAAGCTTAAGTAGGGAAAAAAATTATTAATCAGATTTGGAGGAAAAAGCCTACGATTTGAATATATTTTTAGTTTATTAATTCCTTTGGTCATATTGCCCAGTCCTTGCTCCTTAATTTTATTTAACTTTTTTTAGGTCATGAGGTTCAATCATGATTTTTAGCATTCATAAAAAAAATGTTACCAGCTATTTGTCACTGGCTGTTACAAATAGCCTAATCTTATTCAAAGTATCAGATTAAGATCTTAGTTAGACTATGAATAATTTGTATTAAACCCCTAACCATCTAAGCTCCTTATACTGTCCTTATACCATCTGGGATTACGTGTGTGGTTTTATCAAATTCTATTTAATCTTTTAGCTGCATCACCAGCAACCCTTGCTTTCACAATGTAATGGTCAAAGTCTTAAGAAAAGAAAAAAAGATTGCAATCTGTTTTCATTTTAAAACTGTGTTGCAAGCCAGGTTTGGTTTGTTAGTCTTGAAAATCTAATATATCCCTCAACCATTAACTTTTCGCAACAATGTTCAGTAACATTGCAGTGCAGCTTCCTGTCTGTTTGGTCACGTGAGCTGCTCTGGGCGCTGTCTCTGGATGCCTTAAAGTATTTTAAGCAGTAGTACAAATTTTTAATGTGCTTTTCCTTCTTACAAACTTTTACTTGGACTAATTTGAAATTTGCTGCAAAAATGAATTACAAACAAAGACAATCATATTAAGGAGTAAACATGTTAACGTTACTCAAGCGTTTCAGCTGACTGCATGAAAATATGTTTAATAAAGGCTGCACTTGTATGTTTGAGTAAGCTCTATATTTCAGAAATGTAGGACTCTCCTACAAAATGTTCTGATTGGGAAAAAAATATTTGTCCTTGCAAAAGGAAACTTGAGATCACAACAATACTGAGCAAGTTAAATTGGGCACAACCTTGTCATGTTTGCCAAGTGATAATGGAGAATGTGGTGTGTGGTTTTACTGTCTTTGAAAGCCCAATAAACTGATTTTATTGAAGTATCACACTAAGCTTTTAGTACCTGCAAAGGTGTGTTCTTTGAGAACTTTAATTCCTTAGATTTGAAACATCCAGTGTATCATTTTGCAAGCACAGTTGTAATTATGAAAATAAACCACAATGAAGGATTGCTGTATGATTCTTTTTTTGTTGTTTTTTTTTTCCTCTTCTGTAATTTTTTTTTATCACCTTTCATGAGGATTGTTGGCTAAAGCTTCCCTTTTTCGCTGTTTTTCTACTTTAATCTGTTGTTTTGTTAAACATAGTCTTATCCTGCACAGATCTTCTGCTAAAGATGCAGAGGCTATAGATAGCATCTACACTTCACCAAAAGTGTGTTGCACAATATAAATAAGATCTTATTGTTTAACATATTTGTTTATTTTGACCTTGAATAGGTAAAACATGAATAAATATATTTGCCTCAACTCTAATCTGGCCCAAATATTGAATATTTGTCACTGCAAATTGCAAAATAATATTTCCTTCCAAGCATCTGTCTGCAACTAACTCAACTAAAGTTAGTATTGTAGATCCTTCCTCAGTTAGTGAGCCACCTTATATTTCTGCAGAAAACTGTATGTCTTTACTGAATAATATCTATATTGGAAACATGTTGCATTTTTCCCATTATGATCATTTACACCATTCACTCCCCAATCTGCCATGCTTTGAGCCTCACATTACCCTTTCCAATGCTGTAGCTCAAACAGTTCAATATCAGTTTAATGTGCTACTTTTGGGTGTCTTGCTCTGTTTTCCATTATCTTTGAATGGTAACAAGGCAAACATTTGATCTCAAGTATTGCAGTTCAATTACAACCAAGCATGTTGGTTTGTTTCCATCCCACATTAACAGCCCATATGTTTGACAGCTCACAAACAAGTAAAACACAGATGGACCAAAAAAACATTGAAAATCCATCCAGTATCTGGTTATATGCAAATTATTGCACAGCATTATCTTCCAAATTCCTACAGAGTTATTGGCCCTCTGAAGTTGTAAAAGGTGATGGAGAATCCTGTTTGCTCAGGATTTTAGTAACTTAGTCACTCTTTAGCAAATAGGCAGTGTTGTGCAAATAACCGGGACCCGGAGTAAAAGTGGTGCGCAGAAAGACGTGTGTCACAGGCATTGGAGGCATAACAAGGAGCCTTTGGGTTTTACTGATACTGTGCACAGCTAATTCAAATTAAAGAGCATCAGTAGATGTTTCAAAAGCATCTTTACTTTTTATACGAAATAGTCTTGTTGTAAAACTTACATTTTTGACAGAAATGGTTTGCTGATGATGTTGATGTTGTTTATACATTTAGCAGATGCTTTTGTCCAAAGCGACTTACAAAGTACACACTATTTTACAGTTATCAATTTGACAATAAGTTCTTTAGAGGAAAAATCCATAGATGATTAAATTAAATTTACTGCACTGTGAAGTATTTGATACAAATTTAAATCTTTGCCTAAATAATGCAGACCCCATTTGGTTCATTTCTTTTCTCGTTTGTTCATTCATTCATTTGTTTTCTCTAGCTCTTTTTTTTTTTTTTACTGTAGTTATTTTCTTTTTGTGATTCTTTTTCTCTATGTATTTCTGTATTTCTGCATGGGCAAGCACTTGAAGACTTTGACTGCAATGCACGTAACCCTGGTTTGAATCTTGGTGCATCAGGGAGGGCATCTGATGTAAAAACATTGCTAAGTCAGCTCGCTACTTGTAGTGACTTTCTGTTGCGACCCCTAAAAATCAAAAGCATTTATATCTTTTTTTATTTATAGTTATTTCATTAATTCCTATTGAATGGTTTAAAAAAAAAAAAAAGAAAAGAAAATAGATTGCACCCCCTTGAGCGTGTGTCTTGGGTTCATGGTTATTTTTTAAAAGCACCTGGATTTTCTCCTAAAGTTTCACCTGACTTTGACTTTTAAGCAAAAATTTCTAAATGGAACTTCTTCTGATACATATAAAACACATAATATACAAAAGTAAATAACTAAACACTAAATACATCTTGGGTTAGGTTTGTTCATATGGAGCTCAGTTACAGGGTACTTTCCCAACAAAAGAAAATCAAATGTGTTCATAAAAAAAAAAAAAAAAAAATGCACTAGAAAATTGATTTGGAACATGTAACGTTTTACAAGTGTGTTGGCTAATTATTACCTCATATTGTTCCTGTGTTAAGTGAACCGTAAGATTGTCGATCTCTGTTCATCTGCAGGACATTAACTCTTAACAGCTATTTAACACCCCAATGGAACTGTTTTGATCAAATATCCATGTTTTAAAATGCCAAATGTAGTTCAAAGATGCTCCTTATACATCCTAAATGTGCTTAAGCTCTTCTGCAAAGAGGAATGGGCAAAATATTCAGGCTGTATATCTGCTTAGCTGGTAGAGACAAGCCCTATAGTGAAAGATGGTTCCAAAATGGTCTAAATCTTCTCTATATTATTCAGATTTTACTTTTTATCAACATTGACCAAATTCCCATGTCTACTAAGCGTATGTGATCTATTTTGTTTTATTTAATAAAACGTATATGAGTATGTATTAAAAAGGGTCAGCCCTGCTGCCACATTCATAGCTCTTTTTTTTTTCTCTGTTAAGTATTTATAAGTGTCTTATTAACTGAGCCTAAAATACTCTATTGTGTTTCCTCTTAGCTTCATGCACGCATTTCCTCCTTTACAGCAACTTCTCTTTTTAGCTGCCAGTTGCAGTGCTCTCGACTTGTGGCTGCTTCGTTCACACAGCCTAAAACTGAGAATTAGGTGCCGTTTATTGTGGCCACAAAAGCTCTGAGAGGGGAAGTTTGACCCACTTTTACCAGAGAAGTTTCCACTTCATTGCTTTTGTTGGCATGAGCTTGATGAATGTATGACTTTTACATCTCCTGCACCATGAGGTTTTCTGTCATATAAGAGGCAGAATTGTTTTATAGATGGAGCATAGATTTGAGGTTTGTCGCTTCGTCTTTCCTGTAGTTCTGTTTATCACTACATCATTGGAGCTTTACCGAAAGAGCTGCCCTGACCCATGTTTTTGTATCCCACAGAGCACCTAAAGACAAAGCTGGAGGAGTTTGTGGAGCAGTTTAAGATTGTTCGTGTCGTCAGGCAGCCAGAGAGAAAGGGCCTCATCACAGCCAGGCTGCTGGGAGCCAGCATAGCTACAGCTGAGGTGCTCACCTTCCTTGATGCCCACTGTAAGGAAAACGTCACACACAACCGTCAGCGGTAATGCACATGTCACAGACAGGATCTTGGTTTGCCTAAAATGCTAGTAATAGACACAGAGCAACAATGCATTTAAGTGAACCTCTAAAACAGTGTTGATTTATATATAGTTGTTGAAGTTTTTTTTATGTAATCTCTGCAATATTTTATGAAAAAATATCTATTTACCAAAAGTTCCTGATTTAAAAAAAAAAAAAAAACATGTTGCAAAATTTGTATTTACTGATAATGTTAATATGAAATCAAAAATATTTGCTTCTAAATGAATAAACATGTACGACCCACTAAAAACGTCCTCCTTTCTGCTGTAATTCTGGCTTGGAAGTATTTACTGAGGACTCTTCTATTTTGGTAGAGTTCATTCAGGCTTGGTCTCTTGACTATGAGCCGATGTGTAAATATATTCCACATATTTTGAATAAGGTTCAGTTCAAGTCCGACACAGATAATTGCTATTATGTTGCTCCTGTCAGTTTTGATTGTGAGTTTAGCAACATTGCACAGTTTGAATACCTAGGTTTGTCCAAATTGAAATTTTCTTCATTATCCAATTGATTTTGTTAAATTAACCAAAACCTATGGAAGGAAAACACACTCTCCATTTGATGCTGTTGTATCCATGCTTGATAGATGGAACTGTCACATTAACTCCTCCAAATGTTGTTTTTTTTATGGAGGTAAATCAGTCTCAATTTTAACAAATACACATATGTGATTCATACATGCACAGGACAAGATCCACACAAGCACAGCAGGATTCACGCAAGCACAAAAAAATCCACACACACAAAGGACAAGACTCACAGAACCAAAGAACGATTGAGGCAAGCACACAAGATCCACACATGTACAAAACAAGATTCACCAAAGTATTTCTGTTACATAAAAAATTATAAATTAAATTACAAGGTCTTAAAATACACTGCATTTGTGTGCATTTTTGAGACTCCCTTGACGTGCCTTGATAGACAAATGCATTTTTTTAAACAGGGAATGGTTTGCCACCAATCACAAAGCTTCCTTGTATAAGCCAATCACAAGAAAGTGCTCCACGTGGGATGACTTACCCTCCGATTCCACCTACTCCCCTCCATTCTGCTACGCTTAGATATGTTGTGCAGAGCACTTGCGCACTCATGTTAATCAGAACTGTTCCACATCCACCGCTACTCCTTCAAATGTCACAGTCCACATATGTCTTCTCCGTCCTTCACCGTCACAATATGAAGCTAAGCTACTGTTAGCTCCGCTCCGGCCAGGTCAAGATCCGCAATTGCAATCGCACCAAATGGAAAAAGAACGGCGAGAAGAACCTGTTTGTCAAATTAAAATGTGTTAACGACAGATCGTTAACTACAAATTAGAGCACAATTCATATATATTCCCAAAAACTAGGACCGTTCATTTAAATTATTGAATGCAGATATCGGTACCTCAACATACCAGGAAGCAGATTTCTCATCTCAATCAAAATATTTATTTTATACTGAGAGGCTTAAAAGTTTCATCAAATCCAGTCACAACAGCTTCCAAGAGCGCCTCTCACAAGTTACAAACAAACTTCTTATCTGAGTTTGGAGGTACAGTAGAACAAACCAAACCAGCGGTGCAGAACGGGAGTAACCATGGATGATGTAGGCTTTGTTTTGTGCAGGCTGTCTAGAGCGGGGCGGATACGAAGGATGTGGTATTTGGGGGTGTCATCCCACATGGAGTACTTTCTTGTGACTGGCTTATACAAGGGAGCTTTGTGATTGGTTGCAAAACATCCCGTTAAAAAAAAAAAAAATGCATTCGTGTATCGAGGCATGTAAAGGGAGTTTAAAAAAAAAATCCACACACAAATGCAGTGAAGTTTAAAGACCACTGGTACTTTGTAATTTAATTTATACTTCTTTATGGACCAGAAATACTTTTGGTGAATCTTGTTCTGTGCATGTGTGGATTTTTTTTGTGCTTGCATGAATCGTTCTGTGCATCTGTGAATCTTGTCCTTCGTGTGTGTGGATTTTTTTAGTGCTTGCATGAATTATGCTGTGTATGTTTGGATCTCTTCCTGTGCATGTATGAATCACATATGTGTATTTGTTAAAATGGAGACCGATCTAGCTGCATATTTTTTTTGAGCCAGATTTATTTTTTCATCTCTTTCTCATACGTTTAAAACTCTCGACTGAACCAACAAACGTTCATAGAAGTTGGTTTTAGAACTGTTTAGGGAAGCCAGCTATGACTATAACTTTGAGAAAAATTCCTAACATGAACCATTCTAGAAAAGACTTTACTTTGTTTTAGGAAGCCAGATATAAAAGATCAAATACTATTTCAGAGTAGATGAAGGGTAAAATATCCTATTGGCTGCTAAAAGGCTTCAGATTCTCAGCAACAAATTAAGGGATGTACTTGTATGCTGGAGCCTTGATGTATCAATTTGACCCTTGTGGGTTAAAGAAAATCACAAAAAATTCAAACCTGTGCAGCCAATTCTTGTTTAATGAAGTTATAATAACAATTTAACTTTAATGACACTGGAGAAATTTACCTCTGCATTTAACCAATCCCCTTGGGGATCATTGGGCTGCCATTGTGCACTGCCCAGGGAGCAGATTGGGGTTAAGGGTTTTGCTCAGGGACCCAGAGTGCAGGCTGTTGGGATCGAACTGGGTGCTTACCTTCTGAGAGCACAAGCACACTGCTCTAACCACTAGGCCATCACTCCCCGTTATAGAAGCTATGGCAATGTCTGGAAAAAGCTTCAAGTTGATGAATGTATATGTTTGTGACCACAACTGAAAGTTGGTTTGTGCAGCAGAGCTTTTGTAGAAAACGGAAATCATTCTCTCCTCTTCTTATTTTTAGGTGAGTGTTTTCATGGTTGGTTAGAGCCTCTCTTGGCCAGAATAGTTGAAGAACCCACCGCTGTAGTCAGCCCAGAGATCACCACCATTGACCTCAACTCCTTTCAGTTCAACAAGCCTGTGGCCACCAACCGTGCATACAACCGAGGTAACTTTGACTGGAGCTTGACCTTTGGCTGGGAGCCGATACCCGAAGAAGCAAGGAGTCTCCGCAAGGATGAAACCTACCCTGTAAAGTAAGATGGATCATGTTGTTTATATTCAACTGAATCATTTAAAGAGCTAAAGCCTTTGGATTTGCTCATGAAATTTTCAGAACACCTACTTTTGCTGGAGGCCTTTTCTCAATCTCAGCGAAGTACTTTGAGCACATTGGAACTTATGATGACAAGATGGAGATCTGGGGCGGAGAAAATGTTGAAATGTCCTTCAGGGTCAGTCTCTCTTTTGTGTTTCCCCACCATGACCAGTATTGATTAACACGTTTCTTTGACATTTGCTTCTAACATTTATCTCTGTGAAGGTGTGGCAGTGTGGGGGTCAGCTGGAGATCATCCCTTGTTCAGTAGTGGGCCATGTTTTCCGCACCAAAAGCCCACACACCTTCCCTAAAGGCACTGAGGTCATCACTCGCAACCAGGTGCGCCTGGCTGAAGTCTGGATGGATGATTTTAAGAAGATCTTCTATCGCCGCAACAAAAACGCTGCAGTGATGGCCAGTGAGGTCTGTTTTTTTTTTATATATATATATATATATATATATATATATATATATATATATATATATATATATATATATATATATATATATACTGTTGCATCAAATGGCTCCAACATGTTCTATCATTTTGAAAACGGTGGTGTGTTTAAAGAAAACCAGTTAGTAAAGCTCTGAATTCCTATGATGGCTTTTATTTCCATGTATGCAAATGTGTCAAGGGTACTGCCCATTCTATTCAAAATCGAAATGTGAAACAAGCTTAACCAAATTTGTTATTACTCTGTAGAAAGTAGAAAAACTACTGGGCTGTTGAATCTTTGCATTTTTCCTTGCAAACATTAAGTGTATGTTGTGCCACTTAGCTACCAGAAGATTGTGAATATATTAAATAACAAGAACTGGAAATTAGTTAATTAATAGGTTATTCAAGTCAAGGGTAAAGCTAGTTATTTATTATCAGTTTAATGATTATAACTGTAATTTGCTTACTGACCAGGTTTTTAGTCCCTTTCCTAAAAGCTTAGACCCCTGAATTCGGCTGTTAAAAATCCAGTTATCCTTCACCATTTTAGTAATTTAGGCTATGGCTCTCAGCAACGTTATAACCAAACAAATAAATGTGTCTCTGTTCATTCAGATGCTACTCAAAGAAGAGTGAATCCAACCTGAGTGATAAATCGTTCACTGTGTAAAATAAACACAATATACCACGGGTTAAAAATACAATGGTACCTTTATTAGCTACAATCACACAGTATTATATCTATTAATTAAGCAAAAGACTAAACACTACTGAAAATAAGCAAACTAAAGAAATAAAAGAGAAAGGGGGGTTTAAGAGTCCGTTCAAAGTCAGTGATGTTCAAAATTCAAAGGCTTAATGTCTTTAAAAGTGTCCTTTATAATAGCAGAAGATAAAATGTAAATAAACCCTGGCATAGATGTTATCTGCAGTTAAAGCAGGAAGTTTACTGTAATTCAGTTTATGGTAGAAATGAATAATGACTCAGGAAGGCATTAAACTATGATGAGGCTGAAAGACCCATTAGCTTAGCTGGCCCCAGGGGTTCTGGTTCTGGTCGGGTCCAACTGAAACAAAGAGAGGGTTAGCTCACAATTTAGCAGTTAGCCTCAGTAACACATGACTCGTTCGGTCTGTAGTGAGCAATAGCATTCAGTTAAACCTTTTAACCATCAGCAGTTGAATCAGAAAGCTTATTTCAAATAAAAACACCAACACTGCTATCTATTTTACCTGTAGTTCACTCAAGCAGAGCGCTTATTAAGCATCAGATGGAAAGAAGGGGGGGGAAATGCAGTTACTGTTTTTGGTTCAGTGGAGGGAAGGCCTTCAGTTCGGTCTGGTTCCCTACAGACCTGTCTTTCATCCAGTCCGTATCAGAGGGACGTACTTCTGGTGTTCTGCAACAATGTATCGCAACATTTATAAACTTCCATTTCAAGAGGGTTTCCTGTTCAGTAAAAGGCCACAGGACCACTTGAAGTATTTGATGCTTGAAACTGATCCATGATTGCTAGTATGGGATACTTATGTGCAATACTATAGCAAGAAGAGTCCTCCTTAGAAGACTCTGCCTGTGTCACTATGCTTCAATGTACTGTACATTAAATCCAGGGGTTAGGGGTTTTCTGACTTGGCAGATTGAGGCTCTATAAGAATATTGCATTTTCCATCACTCATAAAATCTTGGACCCTTATTTTCATCTATGGGGTTTTCTTGCTGATAGCCAGACTTTGCATAGATCTCTTTTGAATACTTTACTCTAGTTTTTCCAATCTGATACTGATACCTAAGCTGATCGTATCGGCCAATACAAATCCATTCAACTTCTGAATATGTGAATTATATATCTTACCATGTGAATGAAGACTTTAGCCTCAACAACCCTAGTTAAAAAGGTAACAAATTAACACAAAGATAAACATAATATTATTTTTTTTGTATCAAATAATTGATTTCTGAACCAGCTAATTATTCATTGTTTGAGCCGATATCCGATCCAGGTATCGGATCAGTGCATCCTTACTGCACTCACAGTGATCTAATCACTTTTATCTCCCTGGAGCTGTGTCGTTTTTTTCTATTTGACCAATGTAATTGATTTTTTTTTTTTTTTTTTTCGTGCCTCTCTTTTTTTTTTTTTTTTTTGCCCGTCTTTATGTCTTTGCCTTTCCTTTTAAAGCATTTGAGCTCATTTAAGCTGACCACTCAATCATTTTATACAATTGTTCATATGTTCTTCCTCCAATCACATTTTCTGTTATGTACCCTGTTTGTTTTTTTTTAAGTGTCTGGAGAAATCATTTTTGTCAGGGACTGTAGTATGGGACTGTACTATAACCACTATGAAGAACATTTACTGTTTTTATAATTGAATCCAGGCTTTTATTTTAACAAGTTCTGTCACATAATGCCTTGCTTGAATGCATAAACCCGCTCTGTTATTTGGAACACCAACCTTTGGAATGACATCTCAGTTTAACTCAGTCAGCAGCATGCATGTCATGCCTGATGGCTCTGTTAGTCTTCGTTACTCTACTACCTTTACTAGTACGGCAGATGGTAGATTGCTTTCTACTAGAATCTGTGACAAATCTTTGTGATGTCAGACTGCAGATATTTTTAACAGAACTCTAGTGTTTTGTTTCAACCTCTATTGAGCACAGATGTTTTTGTTTCTATAGAATAAATATGGTGACATCTCTGATCGCCTCGAGCTGAGGAACAGGCTTCACTGCAAGAACTTCACCTGGTACCTGAACACCATCTACCCAGAGATCTTCATTCCTGACCTAAAGCCAGAAAAATTTGGAGCTGTGAGTTAATTTTCTGATCACTAAATGATAAAAGTAATTGTTAGGTGTGTTGCTCTCTTCTCATTGTGTGACGATGGCTGCTTTAGATCAGAAACTCAGGATCTAGAACCTGCCTGGATGTCGGAGAGAACAACCAGGGAGGTAAAGCTGTGATCATGTACCCGTGTCACAACATGGGAGGAAACCAGGTACAATAACTCTGATTTACCAGCAGAAAATGAAGCATTTGATGACTGGATATTGTCCATTTTATTTGGTTCTAATTACATGATTGTGCTTTTAGTACTTTGAGTACTCATCCCACAAGGAGTTGCGTCACAATATTGGAAAGCAGCTGTGTCTCCATGCCAACGATCAATCAGAGCCAGTGAAGATTGAGCAGTGCCAGCTGAAGGGGAGGGGTACCAGTTTGTCACCACAGCAAGAGTGGATCTTTACAGAGGTGAGATAGACTTCACAACTGGGCAAGTTCCCCTTATCTCATTCCAGATGGATACAACTATACTTGTCCCTCAGAGCAGTAATAAATATTTCTGCTTTCGTTTCTTTTTAAGAATAAGAAAACTCAAATGAAGCTTTAATATCTTAGACCTATTATTACCCAATTTCTTCACATTGTTTTGAAATAATATACTCTCATTTATGCCACTATGGGTATGGCTAGAAGCAGGTCAATTTCCACTACGTTTAAACAGTAATTTTCATAATATTGGAATACTATTATACTTGCAGTATTTTGTACAAAAACGGTTTGAGTTGTCCAGATGTGATTTGACTCAGCCTAATTATGACTAATCAAGTCAAGTAGGCTTTTTGGTGAATGCCTCATGACAAAATTTTTAATTATCCACTACAAGTCAAAATACAGTTAAAGCTGGCATTACATTTTATATTTTCTAAGATCAGTAAAATTAGTTGTTGGATCTCTTTTTTTGTAGAAAGTTGTAAAGCTCGTTTTCATAGTTTAATCATTGGATAATCTATGTTTATGTAAGGCCATCGCACGTGCTCGACCCTTTAGCTATCCTTTTCTACGCATGCGCATTTTCAGGCGTATATATGTGGTGAGCTTTGGTTTCAGCCAGTCATTAAAGCTTACCTTTTTCACTGCGGTTCTGTGAAAATGACAGAGGGTCATAAGAGAAAAAGTGTCTACGAAGTGTATAAGAAGAAAAAAAAGCCTCCGAAGAGGCAGATATATCCCAAAATGCTTTGCGCGAAGAGCTCTTGTTGCAAGTATGGAATTTGCTGTCAAAGCGGCCCGCTGGCAACATAGGCTGTCGCTACACAACAATGATGACAAATGGCAAAGATGGCGCAGGCACCGTGCAGTGGAGGAGGAGTTACATGACCAATGGAGAGCTAAAAGTAGTGATCATCCGTCTGAATGATAACTTAACTGAGTTCGCTATTGTGCTATTTGTTAGTGATTTAGGGGTTAGGGCGGACGTTCTGACACAGCAAGCTTGTATTAGCTATGAGAAGAGAAACTTTTAAAGAGAGCGTCCACGACGAGAAATGGGTTTGTGCATGCTCTTGAACGCATATTTTTTTGAGGAGAAGACGGGCCTTTTAAAAAATTCCTGAAAAATCCTCCAATATACCTTTTAACTAGAATCATTACATGTAGCATCAAATGTGTGGTGGATTTTTTTATTTATTTATTTTTTTACTTTTGAATATTTGCTGATTTTGTATGTCATCAATAAATGTAGTTTTTCAGAAGCTCGTATACTGAAAAATATGTAAACAGTTAACGCTTTCTCTGATTCTGATTCTTTCAGGAAGGTCTTCTGAAGAATCCAAGTGGTGGGAAATGTTTACAACTGAGAGGGGATAAGGTTCAGATGGACCCCTGTAATCCTGCAGATCCCTTCCAGCACTGGAGTTTCAGCTGACCTGCCAGTCTCCTCTTCAGTTGATCTCTGGATATTTGTGTCCCATCCCTGTTATCAGACTGAGCAGCTTGGACCTGAAGCACTACAGAGCCAGAAGGATGCGCTGAAAAGCTTTGGGCGAGTGGCATTACTGATGAGCAGAAGAAAATGGAGGACAATCTAAAGACGATTTCTGATTTAGAGGAAGAAAAAAAAAGGAAACCTTTAACTGGGTTTAACTATTGTTATTTTATTTATGGATGGAACTCAGGAAACTCTTATTACTGTGGTTGGGGGAACTTTTGACTTGTGAACTCGGTGATGGCTGTGAGCTGCAATCACTTCAATTCATTTGTTTTACGCTCAGATGGAAAATAATGGACATTAATGTAATTCTTATTTGATCAGATGACTGTGAAAATGTTATATTACAAAAAGATGAGACATTAAGATATTTTTTAAAATTTTTAGTTTTATAAATAGCATTTTTATTTTTAGTGATAAATCATTTTCACTTTAGCCATCTAGAAAAAAAATTCAAAAAGTCTTGCTAGTGAAAATGGTCTGTAAAATGTTTACTTTACTTGGATGAAGTAAAAATAGGTAAAATATTGTCTATTTTATATACTGAAGGATGCATGTTTATATGAATACTACAATTATTAAACCGAGAGTTAAATCTTCAGTGACGTGAATCTCTTTGTATTCTGATTAGATGTTCCACAGCTATCCTTAATCTGATGGATTCTGAATGTTTGTCTGGGGAGCGGCTTTGAAGATAGACATCCACAAATATGCTTCTGATTTGTCCTACAAAACCTGCAATGTGAGTTTAGAGGGGGTCTGCAAGATTTCCACATGTAATTGAAAGGAGCACATATATTCCCTCAAATTAAACATTTGCAGGGAAGACAGGATCTTTTCTAAAATAAACTTGGTAAATAAAAACACACCACTTAAAAGGGGTGTTTTTCATTTCAACAATAGGTGGCAGCACAGAGTTAAGATTTTCTTCAGGGTCATAGTAAAAATATAAAGCTCAGCATTCCAGCCTGTGGCATGCCTGGAGGGTCACTGTTGGGACAGCAGTTTGCTCAGAGAAGAAGTATGGAGCCCTTAACTCGTACTGAGGTGTTCGGACAGCTCAGAAAGGAGCTATATGGAGACAAGGAGTGGAGTTATTCCAGCGCACACCTATTTATCATCCTGGGAGCATCTGTGAGTAAGATGTGACAGCAATTTATAAACATTGACATAATGTTTACTTTATCCAGATCTTTTTGGGTTCTGGAACAAATTGTAAATGTTCTATAATGATGGTGCCCAATATTTGAAGATAATTACATTGTGCATAGATATTCATCAGTTAACAGATAAAGAAGAAAAAAATAGAGATTTGACTTCTCTTATATCAATAAAACCTCTGCCTAAACTATTAACAAATTAATTGTTTTCACGACTCAAACACCTCTCTCTCTCCTTCCTCCACTTCCAGTATATTCAGATCCAATATCTACTTTGGACTCATTGTTTTGTGACCCACTGAAAAAGCTACTGTTTGTACTGTTTACACAGGGAGATCTCGCTAAAAAGAAAATCTATCCAACATTGTGGTGAGTGAAAACCTACAGCTCACTTATTAACTGACTTGCTACACTCTTGAAAGCCATTTACCCTGAAGAGTTTGACCTTTGGACAAAATGTTCCACATTGCTGCTTGTTGTTTAGGTGCTTATTCAGAGATGGCCTGCTCCCAGAAGATATCCATATTGTGGGTTTTGCCCGGTCTAACCTGACCATGGAGAACATTAAGGCAGCATGTCTGCCATACATGAAGGTATTTAGTCACTCATGTCTTTTTTATGTACTTATATAGGGCCCATTTGAACAATTCAATCTGCGCATATGTACAGCTGTTAAATAAGAATACTGTGCAGACAGGTCAGGGAGAAAATAATGAGAGACGTTGGTTTTTCAATATCTCACAGGCCACTGAGAAACTAGCTTAAAAATGTAAACCCTATGGCACAAATGCAAACCAATAACCAAAGCCGACAGGTAGTGTAAGGAGAAGATGATTCAGAGAAGGAGCCATCAGGTAACTACACATAAATCCTTAGCTGCATTGCATAACTTGGTCATATCTTTCACAAATTTACCCCTTATGGAACAGTAGAAAACCCGTTTCCAGTTTTGCTCAAGTATCAAATATGGCAATGCAAAAGAAAGTGCTCTTGTTAGATGAGACCAAAAATTAACCCCAAACAAGCCGTCTCCACGATGAAACAGAGTATCTTGAGTATCTATCAGAGTATTTCTTAGGATAATGGATAATGTGTATCAGCGTATCTATTAAACTACACAGGACAATCTGTTACATGTGGCAAAAGGTTAAATACAGAGGCATATGTTAGCCTTGCAGCAGCAAAGGAAATACATTAAATCAAAGCATGCAAATGTGTTCAAATGGCCTCATCAAAGTGTTGATGAAAGTCTAGGTACCCATTTGGGGCGAGACTTAAGGTTGCTGTTCAGAGATGCTTTCACAAGATGATTAATACTGTTACAGACGCAGCCTAAAAGTCTTGCTGAGGTTTTCCAGTATTGACTAAGGGTGGCTGAAAGGCAAGTCCATCAAACACTTTTATTTGCATTTTGTAGCACTGTTGCTGCAGTAAGAAGAGCCAAGGTTCTGTTTCAGGCCTTTCTGCATGTAGCTTGTCTGCATGTGTGGATTCTCTTTGGCATTCTCTTACAATCAAAAAAAGGCATCTTTGCACAAACAGCCACTTTATATTGCCTTCAGGGATGGAGGTTTTTGGGCACAGCTGTCTATCCTGTGTGTCTCCATTTTATCCTGTGCCTGATATGTCCAGGATGTACCTAACTTCTCATGCAGAAGAAGAAGTATCAGCCAACTTCTTATCCTGCATGGAAACGGGGAAAGGCTTGATATTTGGAAAAGAAATGATCAAATATTAACTCATTTGTTTTATCACATAAAATCCTGATCAAATTCAGTGAAGTTTGTTGTTGCAATGTAACAAAGTGTGGAAAATACTCGGGAGTAAGGAATGCTTTTGGAAGGTTTTGCTTTGAGAGTTTTTTTAGGGGATGACTGTACCGAATTTCCTCCTCAGGTTGCAGATGAAGAACTTGATCGTTTATCAGCCTTCTTCCAAAGGAACTCCTATCTGAGTGGTCAGTATGATGATGGCAGCTGCTTCCAACAACTCAACAGCCATCTGTTATCTCTGCCTGGAGGAGAAAATGCCAACCGGCTCTTCTACCTGGCACTGCCCCCCACTGTCTACCACCATGTCAGCACAAACATCAGAAACCACTGCATGAGCTGCAAGTCAGTAACCTTTTTTAGGTATGAGAGATAGTGGTTCTGTTTGTTCTAATCTGCTTTGTTCATGGCAGAGGTTGGAACAGGGTGATCTTTGAGAAGCCATTCGGTCGTGACCTGCAGAGCTCCCAGGAGCTATCAGCCCACCTGTCTTCCCTGTTCAAAGAAGACCAGATCTACCGCATAGATCACTACCTGGGAAAAGAGATGGTCCAAAACCTCATGGTTCTCAGGTAACAGGCAAGACAGTTGTATCTCTTAAAGCTTCCAGCACACATTTGCTGTGAAATCAGTTTGCCAGCCACTGAGCATGTGATCTTTACTGGAAATCTTTACTTCTTTGTGTTTGGTTAAATAATTGCAAAAATGTTACATGGTCAGGGTAAAATCTGCCTACCCAAACACCCTTTTTACATTTTGCACATTTCTGAGGACGTTGTATTCGGCACAAAGCAGCTAATCACATTTATTTTCATTTATCAGGCTTAAAATGATTTGCTTTATGTTTATTACCTTTTTTGTTTTTACTTTTAGATGTAGAGAAAAAGCTCACTTGATCTTTCACATTATTCTAAAAGCTAAGAAAGATTGCTGCTGTTTATTTCTCCATAAATCACAGCAAACATTTTCAAAAGGTGCATGATGCCCTTTTTGTGTCATGCAGATTTTGTGGTGCTAAAGGTAAATCTAGTTAAACATCTCATATGGTCAAAACGAACTCCAGTCATCTGGAGATCACAAAGAGTCAAGTTTGTTGGATTGGTAATCCTTGGCTTGTTGATCATCGATTAAAAATTTTACCTTTTACTGTGTGAACTCAAGAATTTCAAACCCATACTGTGTTTTTCAGTGTTCGGTCAGTTGTTCATGAATTAGTGTAAAAAAAGAAAAAGGTGTAAAAGTTGACTATCACAGCTGTAATCTGAAAAGTTATTTGAAATGCATCTTCTTGTAAAAGTGAAACCCTTTCATTAAAAAAATGTTTTTTAGAATGCATTACTTCACTTCCTTGTAGGTTTGGAAATCGCATTTTTGGACCCATATGGAACAGGAACAGTGTGGCCTGCGTCGTTCTCACTTTCAAGGATCCTTATGGAACTCAGGGCCGAGGAGGATATTTTAATGACTTTGGGATAATTAGGTGAAGAAATTGTTATAAAATGGATTCCCATTTCACAAGTCCTCCTCTGACTGATGACATTTATTTTGTACAGAGATGTCATGCAGAATCACCTGCTTCAGATGCTCTGTTTGATTGCCATGGAAAAACCTGCATCCATCAGCCCAGACGATGTGAGGAATGAGAAGGTATGCGCATCATCTTCATAATCAGAATCAAGTTTGTTGCCAAGTAGCTTTGCACATAAAAAGACTTTTACTTGGTGTTGATGGTGCAGACAAAATAGATATATATACAGAATACAGAATAGCCATATATAATATAAAACATACAATATACTATATAAAATATATATTACTATAGTACTATATAACATATACGCAATAGACTGTGCGTTGATGTAACGAAGAAGGTCTGGAGATGCTACGTTGGTGTAGCTTCTAGGTTCTAAACGGGGGAGGGAGAGAGGCAGTGACAGTGTCACTGGGGTCTCTGGGCCTTGTTAACAAGGCTGGTAGCGGATGGGAAGAAAATGTTCTTATGGAGTGAGGTTTTGGTCCTGATGGGCCGCAGCCTCCTACCAGAGGGAAGTGTCTGAAATAGTTTGTGGCTGGGGTGTGAGGAATCAGAAACAATCTTCCCTGCACGCTTCAGAGTCCTGGAGGCTTACAGATGCTGGAGAGATGGAAGATTGCAGCCAATCGCCTTCTCTGCAGACCGGATGACACACTGCAGTCTGCCCTTGTCCTTGGCAGTGATGGCATTATTGTGTCTTTCCAATTGTTTGATGTGTTTTATTGGGCTACAGGTGAAGGTACTGAAACGCATAGCTGCTCCTGATGTGTCAGATGTGGTGCTTGGTCAGTATGTTGGAGATCCAAACGGGGAGGGAGACTCCAAGCTTGGGTATCTCAATGATCCCACAGTACCAGAAGGCTCCAGCACACCAACGTTTGCAACTGCAGTGCTCTATGTCCGGAATGAAAGATGGGATGGTGAGGCCTTGCTTCTCTTTCTCTGTTTCCTTTTTCTGCAGCTTGCATGTTTTAATTTGTTACCAATTCATCCTTTAGGGGTTCCTTTCATTCTGCGCTGTGGTAAAGCCCTGAATGAGCGGAAAGCCGAGGTGCGCCTGCAGTTCACAGATGTCCCGGGAAACATCTTTGCTGAACGTTGTCAGAGGAATGAGTTGGTGGTCCGGGTTCAGCCTGACGAGGCTATTTACCTAAAGATGATGACCAAGAGACCTGGAGTTTTCTTCAGCCCAGAAGAGACTGAGCTGGACCTCACTTATAAGAGCAGATACAAGGTATTAGCAGGTTCCCTTTTATCTATAATTCTGCTCCAATTGTTAAGCCTAAAATACAGTTTTCATTTAGCTTTAACACAAATCATAATTAGGTCTCCCTATGGACAAATAATAATGACTTCATAAGATTAAATAATGCACAAATATGAAGGCTGTGAAACCTCTGACCACAGCTTAAATCTATTTTTATAAAAACAGGTTGAGCATAAAACAAATATTTTTTAAAACAAAAAAATAAAAGTTACTTACTAAAAGAAAAAATAAAAAAAAAGGTTGTTGTTCATTAGATTTTTTATATGTATATTTTGCTAAATTCCCTTTAAAAAAATTTTCTATGAAATATTTGTTTAGATTGTCTTTTATTTCCTTGTTGTTTTGCATTTCTGCTACTTTGCATCGGTCAAGTAAAGAAGTAAAAACATTGTATTTAAACCTCTTATTTTGTAAAATGGAATTTGAGCTGTATTTTAATATAGAGGAATATTATTGAAGTTTCCAAAATAATTGTCTAATCTTTTCTTGGTTAATGATGACGTAAGCATACATGTGGTTAAAATGTTTTTGCAGAATGTTAAACTGCCCGATGCTTATGAAAGACTGATTCTGGATGTCTTCTGTGGAAATCAGATGCACTTTGTCCGCAGGTTTGTAGCATCATCTATTGTACTTTTATAAGTAACAGTGCACATTGGGTTTTAATCATGTTTGGAAAATGAGCCAAATTGACCTAAAAACACCATATAGATGAGCTGCAGATTGAACTAATCTGGAAAGAGGAACAGTGGCATGGATCAATCTTGTTAAAATTTGTGAATAAGTATAAATTGGGAATTTAGTTGAAGGGGGTGTGCTCTGTCACTGTGGAGTATGTTATAACTCAAGTTTTTTTTGTGTGTGTGTATAGAAATAGATGGGAAATAATGACCTGGGACTATTAAGGTTTTATTTCTTAAAGTCAGATGCTACATCCTTCCCCTTACATAGAGATTCTTTTGGATTAGCCACATGTGAACAAATTTTTTTCATTGCTCATGTGTTAATCTCCTTCCACGGGGAAAATAAGTATGATAGAAAGTAGTTATTCAGCACGATCAGAGGAAAAATAACAGCTGCTTTAAAGGGGACCAATATAGTGGTTTGTTAAAGGGATGCATATTTTTTTCTATTTTCTTAATTAACTTACATGCAGACATGTGGCTGTTACATGCCCAGATTGCACCTTATTAAGCTCTTAAATTTAAAAAAACATAAACAACATAAACAACACAAAGTCTGAAGCTGTCATCTGTTAGTTTGGTGGATGTTTTTTTTCTTTTAATTTGTTTAAATATAAAATACCCTACTCTTCATTCAGTGACGAGTTGCGAGAAGCATGGAGGATCTTTACACCGCTTCTCCGACAAATGGAGGATGTAAAGAAGTATCCCATTCCTTACACTTATGGGAGGTAAACTCTCTTGTTTTAATTATATAACAGGAAGTATACAACAGAATGAAAAATTAAAGATACCATTGTTATTTTTAAACATTTCTATTCTTCCTCCTCTGTCTTTTTCCTTGTGTCTATAGTCGTGGTCCGAGTGAATCAGACGAGCTTATGCAGAGGGTGGGCTTCCGTTACGAAGGAACATACAAGTGGGTGCATCCCCACACAAGCTGATGCTCCACTTTGTGTTAATTGCATGCACAGATTCACTAAAACCTTTTGTATGTTTACAAAGAATAAAGTTGTCTGCAGCCATCTCTGTTCCAGTTAAATTTTGTCTGCATGTACTCATAAAAGCACAGTGTTTTGTCCCCAATCAAACATTAGCTAATGTAGAAGTAACACGATATAACAGTATGATTTCACGTGCTCTGTGCATCTGAGATTTTCCCCTCAGTCGTTTCAACCTTTTGTGTAAAAATGAAAAAGAAATGTATCAGTTTGCACTGAAATCAGATCCTATAAAGCTAAAAGGAGGACAAACTGCAGCTTTATAAAGTATCAGGGCTAAAGAATGTGGATAATGTATTCATTCTTTAGAACAAGGTAATTTAAAGCTGCTTCTCTGCTACTGACAAAGCTGTATTTACAGTAATCACCAAAATGCAATGATGCAACTTGTGATTTACGTAAAGCCACACCGCCTAGCTGATACAGTATACCAGGAGGACTTGTTGGACTGGTTAGTCTGGGAGATGGCGCCTCTCCCAATAACCGTCCACATGGACAAACATTTGTCATTTCTACAAACAACTTGTTGGTAAGTGTATCTAAGCTTAATCAAATGGAAAAAA